TAATCACACATTTGTGCGTCTGTTCGTACAGGACGGATGTCCCGTACTAGAGTTGCAGGGGTTAGAAGTCTAATGCGATTTCATTTCCCTGTCAACTCTTGAAAGGCTAATATTCAAGCCTATTACATATTATTTAACCCAGAAGACTGAATGTGATCAAGTACTACAGTCAAGTATGATTCAGGGACTGCAGTGAGATCAGTGACATTAGATATAACTTGAAGTTTCTTCAGGTAACTGGTCACTGATATATAAACACTGAGGCCCATGGAATACATCTTGATTAAATAATAAATGTATCAAATCAGTCATCAGATTTATTGGGGTTTAATTTAGTTAATTGATTCAGAAGATTGAATAGCTCATCATTAAAGTAAAGTATGGTTCTGAGACTGCAGTGGGTTCAGTGACATTGGTCGCAGTGACTTGTAGCTGTTTTAGGCTACTGTTCACTGATTTGCCACTGAGGCCTCATGAACTCATCTTCAGCTTCAAATGATGATACTAACATCAACCTCTGTTACTATAGTCAGCTGTAATCTCCTTAGTATAATGCTACTGGAGAAATATAATCAGCTGACAAATTTAGATCTCTACTGGTATTGTTTATCTGCAGGCATAGGTCTCCTCAGGCTTGATACTGGGCCTGAGAGTAATTTACCTCCTGCAGAGTTTAACATGGTTATACCCTGATATTTAGTAGGGCTACCGATGAATCGATGACAATAGTCTGTCCCTACAAGGAGACCGAAGTCAGTGAGGTGATCAGACTTAATATTATCTGCCAATTTTATTCCTCTATTTCTCAGGAATTTGGCTGTTGCTCGCAGACCTTGAACTTGTAGGTCTACTGGTATTTTGTCCACCACAATGGCTTGTACTCGACAGACGTACCTGCCTAAGCGTACTGATGGTTGTACCACCTGGTAGACTTGAGGTCCTGCATCTGTTACAAACCCTGAGATGTTGAATGACATCTGGGCTACAGGCCTTAATTGTAATTCATCTGCCAGCTTTTTAGTGATATATGTTCTCTGGGATCCTTGGTCAAACAACCCACGGGTATGGACCTTGGCCCTCTTATTCAGGATGGTAATTTGGGCAGTAGGCAAAGTCGTATTACCTTTAGACTTTGCTGATTGGACACTCTTTGTTTGTTGCACCTTGCAGTACTGTACTGTGGTGGGAATGCTATCTTCCACCTTGGGGTTTGGAGACGTTGTTTTGGTGTCTCTGCACAATGCTGCATGGTGCTGACCTTTGTTACACCTATTACAGGTGTGTAATTGGGTATCACAATCGTTGATGTTATGTTTCCTGAGGCACCTCGTGCAATGTTGCAAATCTTTGAGTCGCTCAACACGGGCGTCACTATCAGGAAAATTAGAGCAGTGGTACATTGAATGTTTCTCATTGCAGAACAAACATGTTCCATAGCTTCCAGTACCCTTTGGTGTCACGTTCTTGGGTGACACAGTAACTATAGGCTTGGAGGGTCCCACTGCATATACGCCCACACTGCCACTGTTCCACTTTGGTGTTGAATTATATTGTCTAGATTGATTTGGAGTACCTTTGGTACTCTGTGGTTTACTATTATTGGTTTCTGAGGGTTTACTTGGTGGTTTTAATTTGTCATGTGTTCGTAATTGATGAACTACTGACTTTAAACCTTCAGATATTTCATTCATGGATAAGATGCTTTTATTGTAATGAGCACTCATTTGTCTCAATATGTCCCTAGGTATTTTCTCCTGGACAATTATTTTCAAGACCCACTCAGCCCCGTTTGTATCTGCTGTCAGGCTGAGGGCATTGATCAATGATTCTACCTCCAGCTTGAAGACTTGGAGTGAATCAGCTGAAGCCTCCGGTGGGGGTAAATGCAACAGCTCATGAACTAAATGTGATGTTCTTACTTCTGGATCAGCATAATTATCCTTGAGGAGTTTTACTGCCAGATCATAGCCGTCATTAGTTAATCTCAGATGGGATACTACTGTTTTAGCCTCACCTGATAATTGGCCTTGCAAATAAGAGAATTTACTACTCTTTGGTAAAGATTGTTTTGAGTCTACAAGGTCAACGAATTTGTTCCAAAATTCGTCCCAATCTTCCTCATCTTTTCCTGAGAAAGTGGGTAAATTAATTGGAGGGAGTCGAGCTTCTGCTTGACTCGTATTAGATGCAACTGTTGTTGTTGTTGCTGTTGCCTTGTTCTGGGCAATTAATTTGACATAAGGCTGTAACGTGGCCTGAGTGTGATCTTCATAATTCGCAAGATCAACCATAATGTCGTCTATTTCTGTTTCTGATAAATTGGTGTTGGCAAGTTCAGCCACATATGTTGCTATTTGACATTTGATTTGCTCAAATTTACCTGCAGCTGCTTGATAATAGCTTTCCAGGTCAGCATAATCAACTGTTGATTGTTGTGACAAATCTTCACATTTCTTGATCTGTCTTGTTAAGTGGCCTTTAAGACCTGCAAGGGTTCTTTTCATTCTCCCTGCATTATCCATACTGGCTAGTTGGTGAAGCCTTGTGGGGCTTGTACTTGGGCTGCTCATAATACTGAACAAGCTCTAATGGTAGCCTAGGGTAAATTCTGCACTCACTAGGCAATAATCCTACCTCTACTAGAGGTTAGCACTTAAAATTAATACACATTATATATATACAATCATACACACTAATGATTTGAGTGATAAACCAGTGTCACTGGAAGTACCTTTAGGTTAGCTCTTCTATATCACCCTAGGATGGTAGAGACACTAATTAATCACTCAAAGGTGTAATGATCATAAGTAATTTATTATATATACAACTCAACTCGAGTTGATAAAAATTACACCCAAAATAGGGTCTGGACCATTCATTAATGGTGTTAGGTTGTTCAATATAGTACAACTGACTATGGTAATAATGGGACTAGGATGAACAATAATAGTTCAACTAGTCAATGGTTTTATCCTACCCTGTTGTGGGTTGGCAATTAGTAAATATTATACTGTGATCACTAGTGCAATATATATTAAATAATTCTCTATTTTGGAGAAATAATATACACAATTATTGATAATAGCCTCTTAATTAGCCTCTATGAAACTTCTAATATTATCTAGAAGTATTAAATATTATTAGTGACCTCGCGAAATAAAGTCCACAAAATTCGTAGATAATCTCTCGCGAAATGTAACACCACGAAATCCGTGAACAATCTCGCGAAGACACAGTCACTAATTTGGCTGGCTTCTATATTAGCGCTGTCATTTCACGAAATAACACGCCACCAAATATCTGTGGGTGTGCATGAAACCGCTGACGAAGCTGAACTGGGCTGAGGGAGGCTCCTGAGCTCCCTCGAGGCTACGCTGCCGTCTTGACTGCTGGCTTTGTTTAAATAACACTGCACTAGTTTATTTAATGAATCCACTGGTTAACTGGTTCATCCGGTACTAAGATGACCAAATGTGGGTTTCAAATATTCCGGGAGGTACATATAATCCGTCATCCGGTTCGAAGATGACCAAATAATGTGGGAACCGACCTGTGAGATTTATATTTATTTAATTTATATGAATTTATATTTACGTTAATTTATATACTTCGATAGCAATTTGTATAATGATAAGTGGACTGTATTTCTGCAATAATCTCATAATCTCACAAATCGATCCTCTACACATTAGGGGGGGTTTATATTACACATATGCAGCCAATCAAATTACAGTAATAGCTACATACATTGATGAGGTTCCTTCTCTTATAGTACAGCAGGTTAGTCCACCAGGTATAACTAGAGTGTAGACACCAAATTATCCTCTTTGAGGTAGCTTCTATCACCCAGTAACTGGTGCACATAATCTTGCATCCTCGTCTTGACCTGTCAAAAGTGCGCTAGCTGTGAAGCCAGAATCCTATATATGACAAGCTATATCAGAGAAAACACTATATGGAACATTGAAGACCTGGCTTAATTACCTTTAGTTTGAGGCGATTTCGCGATCTAACCGGGTCACCCTATATCCTGACATTAATGGCCATAAATGAATGATAAACGGGTTTCGGATAGACACTTAACTTGATTGTAGACATCGTGTTGGAGATGGTACCTTTGGTTTCCATAACACTACGTCCAAGTAAATTAACAGGAGCCGAATTTGCTCCCGTGTGAGCCTCTGGTCTCAATATAAATGGCTGCATCTAACACTCCATTCTATTGACGTCACTGGCCGACATTGTCCAGAATGATAGGAGCCGAACTCGCTCCACACGTCTCGGAGGTGACACCAATGGCTGCCCTCCTTCCTCCCTGACGCCTGGCCTACTTTGTCCAGATTTCAGAACGTGATAGAAGGGTCACATTTACTCTACTTTAATATTGATAATTAAGTTAATTTATATAAGATGTTTTTATGATGGTAAAGTCCAAAGACTTATGTATTTAAGAACAATTCCCAGCAGAATAGCTGGTGAATTATAATAGTATGTGGTGATGATATCCCGTTTTCTATAGACGGTAATTCCACTACAAGTTACGTTTTCTATGGGTAACTTGTTGGTAATACAGCAGTTATTATCTGTATGATTATTAAATGGTGTCGGATTTTCCGACACCTGTGGAAAAGAAGTGTCTAAAAGATCTAATAGGAGGTACACTTGTTGCGTTAGTTTATTCTTCAGAGGTTACATGGCATGTCGCCTTTCTTTTAATGACTTCAGCATAACTTACAGAAGCCATTATTGACTGGGAGCTGCCTTACTCTTCAGAGTTCTTCATCGACCTGCTTCCAACCAGAGTTGTAAGCGTTGACAACACACTGTACCTGTCCTTGGCAGTCACTATTAGCATTAAGGAACATTTGCTATGTTCGTTTCGCTAGTGTAGACTGCAGTATTAAAGCCATCATTCCTCTCCGCGACTTTCATCCAGAAAGGACAGCTTCCCATCACTCCATCTCGCAAGTGAAACTTTACACCGAATTTCTGCTGGAATGCCACCTTCAACTGCTGCAAACGTTGAAGAGTTCCGACGTCGTACCGAGATGCAGGTACGACGTCAGGTACCTGCATCAATGTCGTCGACGTACCTGCAATATATGGCAGGTTTCAAGTCCATGTCAATAAAGACCCTCTGCGCTATGGGACCCCAGTGTAAAAATTTGCGAACAGGACACCTAGGGGAGAACGTATGGCGACACCAACTTGTATAAACAAGCGCCCATTGGGACTGAAGAAGGGTGCCTCTTTAGTGAAATCGTAGAGTAACTTCCTCATTATGCTCTCGGGTATATCCAGAGGAGTACATGATACACACGGTCCATCATTGTTTCGCCACGCTGCTCTGGCCAGTGGCCCACAGCTCTTTTAAGAGAAAGAAATGCTGCATTACCCCTCCCGAGAAACCACCCCTTCGCTTACCTCAGAGCCTACAACTACCTTGAATTAGGAGACATTTAGAAGGAGGAGGGGAAGGTTATGTTAATTTTAACCGATTTGTAGTATTAAATATTACCTAGGGTAGGGTCAGGTTAGAAAGACTTCTCATTTACCTAATATGTTGACTGACGATACTTTCCGTTCATACCCGAGAGCGTGACCTCTCTGTTATAAAGATGCCGTTATGAACCGTGTTCACATTCCGCCATAAAGTATTAAGCAGTTACCTTAGTGGCTCCGCGGTAAGGTGTCAGGTGGTGTGGTACTGTGAGGTAACCTTCAGCTTCCTATTCCCTTAGAGCTCCAGGTATTATACAAGGCCCGCGAGAGAGAGAGAGAGAGAGAGAGAGAGAGAGAGAGAGAGATCCACACATGTTTGTGTGGAGCCTAGCATCATGGGTGTTAGGCTCCGCACAAACACAGGGAAGCCATCCTGCACCACAGCGAGGAAGGCGGTCTAACGCCCAGATCGTCACTTAAACACATCGATGATAGTTTTATATACGTTTGTAAGTTATATATATAACACTACATTAACAATTGTGCGACTAGCTTCAAAAGAGTGTCACTCGACTAAACGAACTATGGGGTTCAGTTTCTGAACCAATTATATGCCTCTAACCCTTTCCACTACCGCCCACGGGATGGTTATGGGGTGCATAATACAGATATTGAAATTACGCCCAGAGCGATGTATCAACACTATCAGACTCTCGAGATGCAGAGTCCTGCAACAATCACTTCATTTATAAATGCAAGGGGCCAGATTCACGAAAGCACGTACACCTTTTCTCAATCTAATATTTGTAAACAAAGCCGCCAAACAGTTAATGAGCTCCGAAGCACCAGGAGGCTGTTTATAACAACAGTTGATTGGCAAGTCTTCATGCTTTTAAACCTTTTAATAAATGTAACCAAAACCGTCAAAGAATGAGGAAAGATGGATACGTTCGTAAGTGCTTGCGTAAGAGCATTCGTGAATCTGGCATCTGGCCCCAAGGTGTTTAACGTGATTAGGGTTTACATACGAATACAAAATGACCCAAGTGCTTTTGGAAAAATCTTACGGTAAACTGTTACAGCCCCGCTCCTGTGCCAGTTAAGTCCACTACGGGATCACTATAGCCCGTGCTACTTGCAACTTTTGGTTCCCAGTAGCCGAATCTAAAAAAAAAAAAAAAAAACTTTGCGTTGGCTTTACCATTGGTTGCATTTTAGGGTTATTGTACATAATTGGATTCTTTATCTTCCCTTCATCTCCCTCCCTTCCCCATGGCCAATACTGAAGATTGTGTTATCGATACTATAACTCAATTTTAGAGTCTACAAAAAAAAAATCAAACTAATCTTAATTATAAAAATTAATGTTTACATTACTTTTAATGTTCCAATATTATATCAATGACTATTTTCTGAACAATTTATTCGATCATTAGAAACTTTCATCTTTTAGTAAATCGTTAGCCCTCACGTTTATCACACCGTGGACTACCTCGTTTAATAAGCGGCGAAAGCGTTGGTTGACGCCGTACAAATTGTAAGCCGGCTCGCTTAATAACTGTGATGTCTCGTCTAAAGTATGACCCTTCTCGTTTAGTCAACTGTAGACTAGCCTGTTCAGTTAGTGTTTAACGAACTGGGTCAACGATGAAGTGGGTTAAATCTTTATATGAACAACAATTTCACATTTCAATTACCTTACTGGTGGCCTCGTCACCTCTGGACTCTTCCTCCTCCTGACGACCGCAAGAAGACACCTGTAAGTAATTTTTATGAGTTTCCAGTCGTGGATTGGTTTTATTAAAGTTCACGATTGCTTAAATGTTTACCCAAGAATGCAGTGTTATTATGAACTAACTAGAGTGTTTGCACTTTGAATAATAAGCAACTACATGGAAAAATATTCATCAATTCTTTGACAAGTGTGCGGTTTGATTCATTGCTTCTACGCACACTCGCGGGCCCCACCCCCTGGGGAGGGGAACACCCCCCCCCGGAGAGAGGGAAGGGGAACTCCCCCCCCGGGTCAATCTTGACATCTTTCAAAGCTGATTACCTGCCAGGGTCTGCAAGTCGTACAGTAAGGAAACTAACAAGACAAACTAATCCAGCAGCTGCTGGGTGTCTGCTGTAACGGGGGGTGGGGGGAATAACTCTATCTCCTCCATTATTCCACCCCCCAGTTAACTAACGAGGCCGGGGGAAACAGCTCTCTCTAGTCCGTTATCCCGTCCCCAGTTAGCTAACTATTCTAGAGCACCTCCAGAGTTCCTAAGGCAACCTCTCTCGTTCAACACCTTGTAACCTAGGTATTTGACTACCTAGGTGCTAAGACTACAAGGCGCCGTCACTTGATCAGTTACCCGAAACTCTAGAGAGAACTCTAGAATACAGAATCATTGCCACAAACGTATAAGAGAAAACGAAAGGAAAGAAATGAATAGTGAAGTAATTAGTGAGGGTTTGGGGTGAGAGGGAGAGAGGTGGGAGGGGCGAGGAGGGTCATTATTTGAAAGTGAGAGTTTAGAGAGGGGTGGAGGGAGAGGTGTAGATAGGTAGAAGGAGAAGAGTAGATAGTAGAAGTAGAAATGCTAGATAGTAGAAGACGAAATGCTGCCACCATCCATTCATGATCATTACATACAAGACAAGGAATGGAACTTGCCTGTATCACAAAATTCTCCAAGGATGTTATCATGAGTTCATTATTAGTATGTTCCCTCTGTACCATGTATCAACTCCAAACAAGTACTCATTAATATCTTGAATCTAGTAACCACCGAGGCTTTCTCACCTCAACTCAAAGCTCTAGGGAACAAAGTTAAACACAACTTAAATAATAAATTCATAATTATATTTCACATGAAGTATCATAATGTAGCAATTCAATTAAAATGTTAAAGAGAGTCATTATCCAAGAATTCGAGAACCCTACAACTTGACTGCCCCTGATCATCACACAACATATGTAAAACACGACCAAGTCACCTTAATGTTCACTCACCGAGGACTGAGTCTAAGTTGAATGGAGAGGGGGGGGGGCGGTGTCTGTAGCTTGACAGAGACTGTCTCGCCCCTGCCGGCCGACAGCCTCCCTGCTCTGCAGGCTCGTGTGCTGTTCTGTCTCGTTAATGCTCTATGCTCGATAGTTCTCCGAGTATTTATTGGGGAACCTAGTAGCTAACTCCGCCCACAAATAGATAGCCTCCGGCACTACCAAGCCACTCCTTAAACGTCGGCATGTTTGAAGGCTACCCGGCTCCAATTATACGCTTAGCGGAAGCAAGGTGAAATTATCATGATCTGACCTCAGGTCACTTGGGGTCATTAACGGTTAGAGGTGTGAGATCTCAGGCAGACAACTGGCGCCTCTCAGATCCTTGTCTGTGACTCGTGTACTCTATATATATTTTAAATAAACTAACCCAAACACTTTTACAGTGTTACACTGCTGTACTTCACAAAGACAGAGCCATAAACAAGCTGCAGATAGTCGGGTCGTTATCTTCCCCAGCTTCTGTTGACCTAAAGTGTCCACATTAACAGCCACACTCAAGTCTTTCCACCCGACGCTTCTTGCCTAAAAAAAAAAAAAAAAAAAAAAAAAAAGTCAAATCACCGAGGAGCGCGTTGTAGCCTAATGACCTCCCACACGCGGCTCGTTGTTACGCCTCACTACCAAGTAATCTAAGGGCAATCTTGTGGCTATTTTATGTGTTCACGTAGATGCAATTTCTGTATTCAAAATTTAATTGTTATTGCAATAACATTCTTTCCTTAGTGTACAAGAACGTATGGATGACAAGATCTTTATGAACCAAGCCTCTAGAAAGATGAATCAGTTCGACAAGAATCTAACAGATTGCGGTTCCCCCCCCCCCCCATGAAGTGAAAGAGCTAAAAGAAATAGAAAACTTGTGATCTTTATTATGATTTGAGGACGTTAACCCGAGGCGTATACACGGAGAGCAGCCACGACGCGTCGCTGAACAACCCTACAGACACGACCAGTCAAGTTATGACTGGCGACGACACTGCTCCCAACACTGAATAAACAATTTGGTATTCCAGAAAGATCAGCCACCATTCTCACACACGTTTCATGCAGAAGTCAACGAGTTTAGGGATATCCAACTTTTTATTTGATGTAATTAGGAAGAACGGATAAATTAAAGGATTCAAAAGCGCCACTTGGGAATCCGAGTATGACCTTTGTTTACTTAAGCGACTCAAAGTTCACTAAAATACCACAATGATGCTAAAGGTGAGGGGGGGGGGGAGGGAGGGACTGTCGCAGTTTTAGTTAACGAGGAGGTACAAGAATGGCATCATCCCAGCGGTATAAGCCAGCACCGAGGCCCCGGCCATCTTGCAAGCCACTCACGGGAGCATTCCACCCCGGCCAGTAACAGTCGACAGCAATGATCACCCCGTGATCGCTGACGTAACATTGACGTAAAAGCCAAGTCATCAGACGAGCCTATAGCACCCCCCCCCCCCCCGGGCCCTCTATTCCTAAAAGCCATCCAAGCCGATCTTTTTTCCAGGGGGAGGGGGGGGGGGGCGGTGGCAGGCCCGTAAAGTCTTGTGTTACGTCGGCTCAGCAGGTGAAAGTATTTGTGGCTCGCAAGTTAGTAAGATTATAACTACTTTTGTGCTGTTAAAAAATATACAACATTCATTAGACTTTTCAAAATTAACCCCTCACTAGATAGTTCTAGATAGTACTTTTACACTTAGCTTGTATGGAATATGTCAATGTTCAACTCTTCGATCTGTTAAGATAAAACTTCCGTCACCAAGATTCATTATAATCGTACTTTCCATTTCTTACCAATTTCATTATACACAATTTCTCTCCGTATAATTACCTGGAGGGTAGATGTGTACCACACAGTGTGCTGCTGTAGCCCGTACCAAGACGATGTTTAAACTTCACACAGCACCGCAAGTGTTAAGCCAACGGTAAGTGTATCGCGCACAATATAAATTACTTTTTGTTGCTTTGACCACAGCTTGACATGTCGCACATAACCTTCGCAACGATATCTAATGAAACATTCTTCTAGGGCCATAATGGCTTGCAGGCTGGCGAGCACGTGACTGGCACGTGCCGAGATGAGGCTCCCTCAGGAGTATACAGCTCCGTGGCCCGCCAGCCCAGACTGACACTGCCTCCTTGACCTGGGGTAGACATTGCCCTGGTCTGTTGGAGCCGGCTGCTCCGATTGGCGGACTCACCTCCCGCTAACTGTCGTGAATAGCAATCCGAGGGCAGTCAAAACAACACTAACTACCCTCAGCCTTGTTTCCGTGTCTGCAAAAGTTTAACGCATGATATTATGGTGTGACGGATTAACACTCGGTATGATAGCGTCCAGGGGCCAGATTCACGAAGCACTTACACAAACACTTACGAACGTGTACATCTTTCCTCAATCTTTGACGGCTTTGGTTACATTTATTAAACAGTTTACAAGCATGAAAACTTCCCAGTCAACTGTTGTTATTGTTATAAACAGCCTCCTGGTGCTTCGGAGCTCATTAACTATTTAATAATTGGAAACAAAGCCGCCAAAGATTGAGAAAAGATGTACAGGTTCGTAAGTGCTTTCGTGAATCTGGCCCCAGGAACACATTTCTGTCTGTAAACTTGTACACTCGTTTGAGTGTCTCCAACTAGCTATAGTATTTCCTGCATTAACTGCAGCTCCGGACTCTTGTCTCTGCTGGTCAACTCGCCCATCTGTGAAGTATATTACACTGTCAGATACCAAGTTTGTTTCTAATTGCATCTGTGCAATGTTGCGTAGCAGATGGGGGATTAGTCTAGTTATTTTTTCCTCGAAGAGACATAATCATAGTCTGCTGGCAGGGATTGTTGCTAAGGGGCTTGCTTAACGCCGATTGCAGGCATTTCGTCGACATCTCTCTGTGATTATATGTGTGATTTCGAATGTATTGACAGTGTTTGTTGCACAATTGGTTCACCTGTTGCCGTTGGAAGCACCTCTGTCCCGAGTTAGTGCTCCATTGATTATATCTTAAAGTGAACTGATTCTTGGTCTAGTCAATACCTTGGTCAGCATGCAGCCAGCCATCCCTGCGTGCTGACCGAGGTAAAAGCAATCCCTTTTACCCTTATTTCAGCACATGTTAGTTTGTTTTCCAGTCTTAAGCTTAGTATTTTTGTCTGTGTGCGAGCTCCTGTTATGACTCGCATTGCATCGTTTTGAATAACCTCAACGTTTGTCCACTGACCAGGAAACAGAGTGAGTAAGGCAGGCGCTGCATAATCAACTAGGGAAGGAACGGCGTGTATGTAAAACATTCTTAACACTCTGTGTCCCGCTCCTAGACGGGGCCCTGTGATTGCTCTCACTATATTCAATCTGGACTTAGCTTTCTCCTTCAGTTATTGAATTTGTTAGTTGAATATCATTTTAGAATCTATATATACTCCGAGATAATTGTGTAACCCACTGAAGGTTAATGTCTTGAAGGAGCAGGTGCTTGTCTGGAATGTTGCCACATACTCTCATTGTCTTAGACTTGTGTGCAGATATTTTTAGCTCGAAAATGCTGCATTCATATGTTACTTTATCTAGCACCACGTGTTTTATTTGTGAAGGACTTGTGACGACTAATGCTATATCATCAGCATACCTTAGCAATATAACCAATTCTACAAATATCATGGTAACGATGTTTTCCGTAAGGCTGTTATGAAGACTATGACTGAGGACTCCTCCTTGTGGAGTCCCAGTCTCATGCAAGTGGTAGTCCGACACTTGTCCTTGCACCTTTACTCTGGCATACCTGAGACTGAGGTAATATTGACTCTAGCCTTGCAATTTTCCCGACACCTTTTTGGATTAAGGTGTGTAAAATTGCTTTCGGGCTTGCAACTCTGAATGCTTATTCTAAATCAAGGAAGTCGAGCCAGAGTTAACAATAAGAGTTAATTGTTCCTAGTAATACACAGAGAAATCACAGTAACGTGATTACTGTGTATTACAATGAGAAAATCCACAGGAGCCGTGATGAGGATTCGAACGTATGCGTTGGGTATTCTCAGATGCACGCTCTAGGGTCTAGACGACCAGGCTACGACATGGCCAAAAGAACTGGAACCTGGGTTCTGATCAATCCACGAGGATTCCCGAGGCTTCCACTGAAGCCGAACCAGGATTGTATGAAATCCTGGTGAGGTCGTCTTGCCCTTCAGGGCGACTGTGCCTCGCCCTTCAGGGCAGGACTGTGACCTGGTCAGTGATACATCCCTTGTGATACATACATACTTACCTCTGAATAGTGATAGTGATACATACTCATAATAGTGATAGTGATACAAACCTCTGAATCTTTTCCAGCTCCGTCTTGTGTTTGACAAGGTACTGGCTCCATGCTGGGGCCGCATACTCCAGGATTGGTCTTACATATGTGGTATACAAGATTCTGAAGGATTCCTTACATAGGTTTCTGAAGGTAGTTCTGATATTTACCAGCCTTGCATAAGCAGCTGATGTTATTCTTTTGATGTGAGCTTCAGGAGACAGGTTTGGTGTGATATCAACTCCTATATCTTTCTCTCTGTCCGTTTCATGAAGGACTTAATCTCCCATTCGGTATCCAGTGTCTGGCCTCCTATTTCCTTCCCCTAGTTTAATTACCTTACATTTACTCGGGTTGAACGTTAGCAGCAATTTGTTGGACAATTCCTTCAGTTTGTCTAGATCATCATGTAGCTTCATACTATCTTCTTCTGTTTTAATCCTCCTCATATTTTTTGCATCATCAGCAAATATTGAGAGGAACGAGTCTATTCCCTTTATTAAATCATTTATATATTTCTGAAACAGTATAGGTCCAAGGACTGATCCCTGTGGGACCCCACTATTACCCTGGGGTGAGGTCTCAGAGTAGCTTCGCTACTCTGAGACCTCACCCCTCACAGTGACTTGCTGTCTTCTGTTGCTTAGGTACTCCCTTATCCAAAGGAGTACCTTCCCTTTCATTCCTGCCTGCATCTCTAGCTTGTGCACTAGTCTCTTATGTGGTACTATGTGAAAGGCTTTCTGGCAATCCAAAAATATGCAGTCTGCCCACCCTTCTCTTTCTTGCCTGGTAGCAAAATTCAATTTATATTATGAGGCATGATTTGCCATCCCTGAACCCATGCTGATGTTGTGTTACAAAGTTCTTTCGCTCCAGATGTTCCACTAGCTTCTCTCACACAATCTTCTCCATAATCTTGCATGGTATGCAAGTTATGGACACTGGCCTGTAGTTCAGTGTATCACCCTTCTTGATTATCGGGACTACATTAGCCGTCTTCCAAATTTTTGTCACTTCACCTGTTCCCAATGATTTGTAACAGGTACTGGCAGGCATAGTGCTTCTGCTCCTTCCTTTATTATCCATGGTGAGATTCCATCCGGGCCTATAGCCTTGGTCACATCCAACTCTGGCAAAAGTTTCCTTACCTCCCCATTGGTAATCACAAACTCCTCTAGTGGTGCCTGGTTAACTATTCCATTTCTTATTTCTGGAACTTCTCCTTTATCTGATGTGTAAATCTTCGGGTATTTCTTATTGAGTTTCTCGCACACTTCCTTGTCGTTTGCAGTGAATCTGTCTGCCCTTATCCTCATTTTCATTATCTGTGCCTTCACGGTTGGTTTTCTCCTGATGTGGTTGTGCAGCAATTTAGGCTGCAGTCTTTGTCTTGCTTGCTATGTCATTTTCGTATCGTCTTTCTGCCTTTCTTTTCACCCTGACGCATTCATTCCTGGCACCCTGGTATCTTTCTCTGCTCTCTAGTGTCCTGTTATGTCTAGTTTCTCCATGTTGTCATACTTTGTTGCATTGCTAGCTTACATCTCTGATTAAGGCATGGGTTTCTCGTCTGCATTTCGTTGTTTTCCTTTTGGACCGGGACAAATTTGTCTGCTGCCACCTTACACTTATGCGTGATATAGTCCATCATGCCTTGGGCCGTCTTTCCTCTGAGCTCTGATTCCCCAATGCTAAATATTTTCTTATCTTCTCATAGTTTCCCTTTCGGAATGCCAGCCTTTTGTTTTCCGGTCCCTTCCTGAGTACATTAACCCTACTTCAACCAAATACTCAAACATCAGTATACTGTGATCGCTCATTCCCACGGGGTCTTCGAAACCGATTTCCCTTATGTCAGAGTCATTCAGAGTGAAAACTAGGTCGAGTCTCGCTGGTTCATCGTGCCTCTCATTCTTGTGGGTCCCCTGACATGCTGGCTTAAAAAGTTTCTTGTCGCCACTTCCAATAGTTGAGCTCTCCATGTTTCCTCACCTCCATGCAGTTCCTTGTTCTCCCAGTCTATCCTTCCGTGATTGAAGTTCCCCATGATGAGCAGGTGGGATCGATTTCAACAGGCAGCAGAGGCTGCCCTCTCAATTATAGTGTTAACTGCCAAGTTGTTTCTGTCATACTCTTGACTGGGTCTTCTGTCATTTGATGGAGGGTTATATATCACTGCTACTACTACTATTGGTCCTCCCATCGTCATGGTGCCTGTTATGTGGTTTCTGAACCCCTCGCAGCCTGGGATAACCATCTTCTCGGAACTCCATTCCTTTTTCATCAGTAGGGCCGATTAATACAGATTAGGGGTAGCGGTGAATGCCCCAGTGTGGTTTAGGAAGAACCAGCCCTTGCAGAGTTATTATAAGCCAATTCATCCTCCTATTGAGATAGTAACTATGTGGTATTTGTAAATATTTATTTTTAGTTTTTGTGACTATGGACCATCGTATATACACTGGCATAATATTCAATTAGATAATAGAATTTTATACTATTCATTTTATAAGGTCCGAAAATATAAAGCTATAAACCAAACCTAAACATTCGTAGGCCTAGTATAGCACATATATGTACTATATTAGGCCGCAGATAGCGTGTACTAGGCCTAGGGAGGTTAGGTTAAGTTTTATTTGCAACATCAGTACAAAAGCTTTTCCAGTTTGTCCAAATTCAGTAGTTCTGAATTCTAATTTTTATTTGCCTTTTACGTCAATGTACATACGATGGTCCTCATCGTCACTATAAGTACTAGATAAAACAGGAGGAATGGCTGTATAAACATATAAATGGGGAAAGGTGGGGGGGGGGGGCAAGCGTTAGTCCCGGGTGACTGTGTGCGGATTGG